AGAATCTTTGTTAATATTAAGTATTGATGGGTCACAAAATAATTAGGACCTTCCTGGGACCTCTGCTTCTCCTGAATCACCTTTTGTATTCAGTAACCCTAGTACTCCTGCCAGAGTAGGCCTCTCTCCCAGGGGCTTTCCCAGAGTTAGGCTACTCTGGGCCAGGAGGATGTCAAGCATTCCACTTGGAGGGCTTCTACCCCCACCATACATGTTCGTCTGTCCACATGGAGTAACACTATCATTATTCTTCTCTGTCCCAAATACCACAGGCAGCCTTTGCATGAATCTTCTGTGTGCTCATAGCTTTCAATCCTTCAATCCCAGGGCCCAGGTGTGTGGGATTTTTGACTATTTGAGAGTGCTTTTTCTAAGGTCTTACTCAAACCAGCTGCTCTTGTCTTGAGATTTCTGAATCTCCTATTTTCTGCCTGCCATTATGGAAAAATGAGAGCTGGTCTTGGCTGAGGCAATCAACTGAAAGACATGTGCTTTACCCAAAAGCAGCATGTGAAAATAAGTTCCTAGTCTTGGTTTGTAGTTCCTTTATTACTGCTTTTCTAGTCCTGATGTAATCCCACTTTTTCCAGTCATCATCTTTAGGGAAAAATATATATATAGATGGATATTCAGGTACGAATCTATGGATCTAATCTTGAATTTCCATGATTACTCACTTAAAAATCAAAGTATTAAATGGTGTGTAGTTCTTTCAATTGGTGGTGCTATGAAGGCAAAATACTTCCTATATTGGAGTTCCTATTTTACTGGATTCCAGTGAATATAATGATTTTAAGCAAACCTACACAAACACACTTAATATGCTATCAAAGAAGGATGCCTTTTGGTCTCTTGCCAGCACAAGGCTTATATTCATTCCAAAACCAAACTCACTACCATAGAGTCGATTCGACTCATAGCAACCCCTCCTTGGGTTTCCGAGGCAGTATCTCTATGGAAGTACATTGCCCAGTCTTCCTTCCGGGGAGTGACTGGTGGGTTTGAACCACCAGCCTTCTGGTTAGCAGTCAAATGCCTTAGGCACTATACCACCAGAGCCTTGTGCTGGCAATAGACCAAAGGGCATTCTTCTGTGATAGCATATTAAGTGTGTTTGTGTAGGTTTGCTTAAAATCATTCTGTACAAATCAGTCCATTAGGTTTTTGGATAGGGTGGGAACAAAGTTAGTAAAAAAAAAAACAAGTGATTATTTTTTCCACAACTTTTCATTGTGATTTGAATGAAAGTTTACATAGCAAATTCGTTTTCCATCCAAGAATTCATATACATTTTGCTTTGTGACACTGATTGCAATCCCCACAATGTAACAGCACTCTTCCCATTTCCTCCCTGAGCTTATCATTTCTGTTCTTCTTTCCTATCCCTTCCTGCCTTCTGAGCCTTGCAATTCCAACACTATCCTTCTTCCTGTCAAAATCTTTCCTGCCAAGATATATTCTACTAGTGTAGTTCAGCATGAGTAAGAGGAAGTAGCTTTATAATCATCTGTCTGGCTTTGCTTTTAAAAAATATGTATTTATGAGAAAGACAGAGAGAGTTACATGGGCAGTACAAACAACAAATATGAACCCCTTTGTAAATACAATACTGAGTTGTCGATGAAAGCAAACATGGGTATAGGGACGGATAGATGGGTGAACAAGCTAAACAATTATGTATGTCTAAATGGAGAGTGTATCCAAGATCATATACAGGGTTGGCAGACAATGGGCCTCTCGAAGAGTATGAAGGGATGGACACTGGGAGGAGGTAACTATGGGGAGGAAGTGGGAGGGGAGCTGCTGCATTGTAAATTTTGGTCAATGACATGAGACAAAGTATATGTGAACTGCTGTATGAAAAGTGAATTTACTCTGTAAATCTTCACCCAAATCCTAATTAAAAAAAAAAAATGTATTTAGTAGAACATTACTCACCAAAAAAAAAAATGTAGTAAAAAGGAAAAAAGCAATAGTTTGATTCCCAGTGTGTACCTTTGTTTTTTATCTTTAAGTAAGAATAAGAATCTTTACTGAAAAACTGAGGATCTCCATCTATATTTGTTGTTATGAAATGATGTTGTTTGGTAAATTTCTTCCCAACTAGACTGTAAACTCTGTGAAGGCTGAAACTGTGTCTATTGTGTTCTCCACTCTATCCCTGGTGTCCAGCACAGTGTCAGGAAAACGGTACCATTCAATAAATTCGTTGAAGTGCTAAATGAATAAATTCCACAGTAGATTAAGTGAAAATCAGATTATGAATCAGTATGTATAGTAAGAGTCTATTCTGTAAAATATGACATATTTATATATACACAACTCCTTGTGTGTGTGCACAGAAAAATGTCACTGGTTGGTACATCTTTATTTTCTTCTTTCAACTTTGCTACATTGTATGGATTTTTTCTATAAGTATGTGTTGCTTTTATAATCTAGACAAAAAGTTTTAGAAAGAGGAACAATGGATAAAAGATAAAGGTGGAGCATAAAAAAATAAGCAGTTGCCACCAGGAGAGATTGTTTAATTGTAAAGACATAAACAGTAGGATTTCAAGTATCAATTTGTAAAGACTTCAGTCGCCCCTCTGATCATTCTGAACAGGTAAATACCTATCTGCTCTCACTGCTGCCTCCCCTTCCAGTTCTGTCTTCAAATGGGGGGTGACATTGAGGGACTCTTCAAAACTCAGAAAACTAAATAATACCTGACTCCCACAGCCTTAAACATAATCTGTCCCTCCCGCCCCCTATCGTGGCCTCAGACACAATGCCCTCACCACAGAGGCTGCCCATGTGCCATGAACATGGGACTTGATGGGAGTCCTGGAGTTCTCCTAGGATTTAGTCTGGACATCTGAACCCTATTCCCTTGCCCTTCCTACATATTTTCCATACTCTCTTTCCTCCCCAGCTTGCTCCAGGCTTCCTCTCCAACATGCCATGAATGACCCATCCCTCAAATCCAAGTGTCCTTCAGTCTTTCACCACCTCCACTATCCCTCTTCACAAGAAGATTCTGGATCCCCAAGTCAACTTTCAGCCCAGTCTTGCATTGATGTATGAGCCAGCCCATCTTCCTTTCAGACAGGGGTTGTCATTCTTTATTCATTTTTTTAGAAGACCACCAAGCTTTCATTGATTGCCCTACACCCTGTGCAGGGTCCTGTGACAGTGCCCAGGACTGAGCTATCCACACATATCACCCAGGATAAAAAAGATTGAAGGCACCATCCCCAAACCCTGACATCCCAGTCTAATGAGAAGCTGGGTAATCCAGGACAGTTCAATCTCTTTTCAATAAATTAGGTAACACATGCAACTGAGTGACTTGGCAGTTTTCCTGGAGGCTGGTGATGTTTCTTGCAATGTCTTTAAAAGGCAAGTAAGAGCAACAATAAAGAATTGCCTGTACCTGCCCCAAAAGTACTAGGGATAAGTAGGGAAGGGAGCTGCCTCCTGCTGTAGGCCTAGAAAAGTTCAGCAAGAACTTATTGAACACTCAAATGCAGGAACTTTAAAATGTCTCCTTCCCTGAGTCTTGAGACCAGGGCTGCTAGGTTTTGGAGATTAGGTGGGATGAGCTAGAAGGGGACAGGCACAACTTGAGTTCAAGATCATGAAGGCCTGGCCTTTCTCGGACCATCAGACAGGTAAAGATGTTCTTTCATTAGGCTAGCCCTGACCCAGCTTCTGGGAGGTAATATATGATCTACAAAAAAAAAAAAAAAAAAAACTCACTGCCATTGAGTCAATTTGACTTATAGTGACCCTTCCTTGAGTTTCTGAGGAAGAATCTCTAAGGAAGTAGATTGCTCAATCCTACGGTGACTTACAAACCAGTATCTCATCATATTCAAAGGCATGCAGATAGAATTGGTTTGAGGGATGGGAAAAGGAACAGAGACCCTAATTTTCGTATCCACTGGAGCCCTCAGTTACCCTAACCAAATCTCAGTGGCTAACTCATTACCCTTGTCCTCCATGGGTTTGTGTTTCAGCTTTCTGAGAACAGTTGGGAAATTCTGGCATAATGGCAGGAATGCATCTTCCCCATTCCTAATTTTACACCCATCTGGAGTGACCTTCACTAGTACAACAATTCCACCCTCTCTCATACCTGATTGGTGAGTTTGAAAGGAGTAATTAGGCATGCATAACTCTGCCCTTCCATGTCTTAAGATTTGGCTGCCCATAGCAAATTTGTGTTCTGCTCTCCAATCAACCACTAAAAGTCTGACCCCTTAAGGAAGGTTTGATTGGTTGAATAACCTACTTAGGAATGGAGAAGGTCCTCATTTAAACTTCAGAAATGTCCTTGGACAAACCTATTACAAGAACCCAGTGAAATGGATAAAGGAGAAGCCAAAACTATTCAGCCTCCTTTACACCCACTACTGAGTTTCTGAAACATCATCATCCCCTCCTGATCTCCTTCCACTCTTAGGCCTGGGTTTATTCTGCTGACTCCTTGAATGAAAGCCAAACACCAAAATGTGAAATACAGTGCCATTTATTGAAAAAGAAAGTACACAATGCTCACCACCAAGAAGGATCCACAGCTCAGAGAATTAAAAGACAGAGGTAAGTCAGGATACAATGCCCAGATGTGGGGAAGGGAAGGCACCCTAGAAACCAACAGTCTAGAGAGCTTAACTAGAAGTGCTAGCTTCACATCTTAACTCTCAATGAGAGAAGGAGACAGTCCAGAGTTGGAACAGGTCAGATTGGGAAGACCCAGACCAGGTTAGGCTCTGGTGTTGCTGTCCAAAGTCAGGATCCATCACAGGAGCTCATCCAGGGACATTGTCATCCCAGCTGGACCTCCTTGGCCCAAGAGAGGTTTGGGATATGGAGGAGCCAGGAAATCAACCCTTTCTCCAGGGAACTTGAGGAAAAGAGAGGTTGAACTGTGTGCATATGCTGATGTCAGGCAGAGTGGGAAGTTCTGGTGCAGGCTGAGAGAGAAGCAGGTGGAAGTGGGAATTTGGCCCAGAGGATCACTTGGAGCCATGCTGGCTTGAGCTGGTGGTCTGGGAGAAGCGGACGCCAATGCTCCCTCCACTGCCAGACTTGTAGCCAGTGCTTCCAGAGGTCTGGATGCTGCCAGAGCCAGAGCCAATACCACTTTGGCTCACAGAGCTGCTGCCTCCACTGCCAAGCCTGCTGCCACTCTGGTAGCTCCCACTGCTGCTGCCACTCTGGTAGCCTCCACTGCTGCCCTGGGCCCCACCGCTGCTTCCACTGACTCTTCCATGGCCTCCGCTGCTGCCTCTGTTGCTGCTGCTGCTGCCTCTATAACCACCACTGCTGCTGCTGCTGACTCCTCCAAAGCTTCCACGGCTAGCACCAGAGCTGCTGCTTGTGCTGGTAACATTGTTGACCACCGCTACAGGGAAGAAGCACTCCAGTCACTCTAAAGGCTGTGAGAGCTAGACGCCTGTATTTGTATCCCAACTCTCCGAAGAGCTATATGGCTAAAAGATGCTCAACTTCTCTATGGCCTGCTTGTAAACCACAAAAGTGAGCCCAATCCTCGAGTGTACTTGTCCAAGAACAGAGGCCAGAAGTGTCCACATAAATTTCTATTTCTTCAATCTAGTGAACTCCCCAAGACCACAGGGATTTTAATTTAGAGCTGAGAGGTTGCCAGCTTGCACTAGGGGCAGAATGTAGCCATAGCTTGACATTAAATATTGTCTGTTGGCCTGGCCTCCTGGATAAGTCAGACCCTCCTGCCTGAAAGTCAGTGAGGATGTTTCTAGGTGCTTCTACTACAACCCAAGGAGAAAGTTTCTGAATAGGCTACTTACAAATGCTCACAGAACTCTGACATTCTCCAGACATCCTGAAAAGGAGAGAAGGAGATGTGAATTATTTTTGCAATGAGCCAACCACCAACTAGCTGAGGGGACATAACCTTGGGAACCATATCTTCCCATTTTTCCTATTAGAGTGAAAGGCTTTTACAATCTGTCTCCATGACCAGATTTCCCCAGGAAAGGGGGTTGCTTCAGAGGTTGAGACTTATAGTACCTCCTCCATCTCTCTATCTAAAGGAAAAGAGGGTTTTCCTTTAGACCCAAAACCTTCAGAGCCAAGCAAATTACTTCCTCTCCCAATCCCACTTGATGAGCCCATCCTCACCTCTCATTCCCCACTGAAAACATCATCTCTCCTTAGCATGCCCCTTCTCTCTTTCTCTACCCAGTGAGCCCTCCCAGAGTGGTGGTGGTGATGGTGATGGTTGTTGTTCAAGGTGGGAAAGTATGAGAAGGGCTGACATTTAACACATGATGAATTTGCATGCCCATGCTGCTCTTATTCTTGTGACTTGTTCTTATTTATGGAGCAGGCATCTTTACAAACATAGAATGGGTCTATATACCTTGCCTATTCAGGCCCCGCTGGTGCTGGCCACTCCCTGTTTATCCCACAACTCTCAATACACTTAGCACCAACTTCACTCTCACTCCTTTCAATAGAAACTCATAAAATGTCCATAACTTTTCTTCTCATACTTGGATTCTGCTTCCTCCATCATATTGGGAGTTGCTTGAGAACAAAAACTCTTAACACAAGATGCATGGGCAGGGAGTCAGGAAAAAAAAAAACTCTCAATTCTTGGTATTCCCTTAGTATTCACTCACTAAACACTTATATATGTTGCTTGATATTGTGTTATTTTTTTCCAGAGTATGTATTTATCAACCACCTCCCCATAGGGACTCAATCTTAGGGGTGGTAGGTTGCAGGACTATCTATACTGAATCATCCAATATGATAGCCACTAACTACATTAGGCTATTTAAATTAAATTTAAAACTTACTAGCCACATTTCAAAGGAGCTCTGGTGGCATAGCAGATAAGGCATTTGGCTGCTAATTAGAAGGTCAGTGGTTCAAACCCACTAGCTGCTCCGTGGGAGGAGGATGAGGCAATCTACTTCTGTAAAGAGTTACAGCCTTGGAAACCCAATGGGGTCACTATGAGTTGGAATTGACTCAATAGCAGTGGGTTTGGTTTTTTTGGTTTAGTCATATTTCAAGTCCTCAAGTGGCTAGTAGCTACTGTATTAGATAGCACAAATATAAAACATTTTCATCTCAGAGGTCCAGTGAACAGCACAGGTCTATAACTTTTGCAACAGCCCCAATGCACTTCTGCTAGCACATTGCACATCTCACTCAAACTCACTGCCATCGAGTCGGATCTGACTCATAGTGACCCCTCCTTGGGTTTCCAAGGCAGTATCACTGCAGAAGGAGATCATCCAATCTTCTTTTCGAGGAGTGGCTGGTGGGTTTGAACCACCAGCCTTCTGGTTAGCAATCAAATGCCTTAGGCACTATGCTACCAGAGCTCCCAGCACATTGCACATAGTGAGGATCAATAAAAGTATGTAATACAATACTGACATATATGATAAAGATAAGAATTGAATGTTCTTGATTAGCAAAACATAATGGAATTTGAATCCTTAACTGTCCTTCGGGAGACTCCTTGCCCTTGGACTGAGTTGTCTGTCCTCTTCTTATCACCTTGCTCTCTTTCTACAATCTCTATAAAATCATATCTGGAGAATGCTGACCCTACAGCCCCTCACCTGCACTCCTCGCCTTCCAGCAGCTTCCTGTAGGTGGCGATCTCCACATCCAGGGCCAGCTTGACATTCATCAGCTCCTGGTAATCGCGCAGCAGCCGGGCCAGGTCATCCTTGGCCTGCTGCAGGGCAGCCTGAAGGCTTTGAAGCTTGGCATTAGCATCCTTGAGGGCCAGCTCCCCACGCTGCTCGGCTTCTGCAATGGCTGCCTGAAGATTGGCATTCTGGGCAGGGGGAGGTAGAAAGCCAGTTAGCATCCTGAGGGGAGAGCTCTTCCCCATCCAGCATCCCTCCTTCCACTTCCTTAGAATCTCAATGGTGCATGCTTAGGACACAGGAGTCAATCTGCAATGAACTCATTCATCTCTGGCAAATGGAAATTAATTCATGTCTCATCAAAGAAAAGGATACTAATTTGCTTTCCTAGACTGATAATATTAGTAGTGATCTGGTAAGTCTCTGATCTTTCTTGAAAGACTATTTTTAAAACACCTACTTAGTCACTTCTATCCAACGATACCAGTCAGCCCTGAAGAGTGTGATAAATAACTCAGCTGAAAGTAGATTCTGCTGAGAGCTGAGTGTTTAAGGCCACCACTGCAGTTGCAAGATTTGCTAGTCAACCCAGAATGAACAACTTTTTCTCTTTTGGACCAGTTAGTATTAGGGACTAAGTTAGAGATGGAACATCTGGGAGGGAAGAGGTTTCCAGAAATTGTGCTATCTTACATGGAGCTCCAGTAGCATAGTGGCTAAGGCACTTGACTGCTAACCAGAAGGCAGGCGGTTCAAACCCACCAGCCACTCCTCAGAAGGAAGGTTGGGCAATCCTACTTCCGTAGTGATACTGCCTCGGAAACCCAAGGAGGGGTCGCTATGAGTCGGGGCCGACTCGACGGCAAACAACAACATGTGACACTATGAAAAGACAGAGAAAGTGTGTGGCAGAAGCTGCTTCTCCCCAGGGCCCAGAAGACCTCCAGGAACTCTCCATAAAGCCTGGACTCACCTGCTTCTTAACATTCTCAATCTCTGCACGCAGCCTCTGGATCATCCTGTTGAGCTCCATAATCTCACTCTTTGTGCTCCTGAGGTCGTCACCATGCCTACCAGCTGTGGTCTGCAGCTCCCCAAGCTGACAAAGGAGAAACCCATCAGTATTGTAGTGTTGGCACATCCTCTAAGAAGGCCATCAGGACTTAAAATTTTTTTCCCTAGAGTGTGGGGACAGAGGGAAGACTCTCACCTTGGTCTGGTACAGGGCCTCAGCCTCAGCCTTGCTCTTCTGGGCAATCTCCTCATACTGAGCCTTGACCTCAGCAATGATGCTGTCCAGGTCCAGGCAGCGGTTATTGTCCATAGACAGCACCACAGACGTGTCACTGACATGGCTCTGCATCTGGGACAGCTCCTGCAAGGAACATGAATGATCATACTTTCCATGCCACTGGCCCCAAGGGATACTGGGGATGAAGTCTAAGAATCCTCTACTGCCAGAGATATCCCCAAGAACGGGACCAGGAGTGGGACAGTTAGAAAATTAATCCTGCATCTCAGGCCTTGCTACAACCCAACAGAAGCCAAACAACAAGGCTGGAGGAAAATACATAACTATAATCAGGTTGTGAAGCTACTGAGCGGGTTTCCATGGGACTGCAGTAAGGAGGAGTATTCTGATGAAGCAAGTTGTGATGCTGGTGTGGAAGCCAGAGGGAAGGTGAAGAATAAAGAGGGCTGATGACAGAGGATAAATAAAGAGGGCAGAGGAGGACCCTGGAGGATTTGGAGCCAGATCTAAGCAGGTTGGGGAGTTAAGTTAGCATTTCCTGGGTTGGGCAGAGCTGAGTTCTGAGCCCTTTTCCTGGATGTCTGAGTGGCCTGCTGTTTGACTTTTATCCCTTTAAATTATGCTTGAGGAGATGCAGACAGGAAGGAACTGGAATGGGCAAAGCAAAGACTCACCATCTCATAGAGGGTCCTTAAGAAGTTGAGTTCATCCGTAAGGCTGTCCACACGGGCCTGCAGGTCCACCTTATTCATGTAAGCCACATCCACATCCTGGGGGGAGGTCAGAAACCCAAAGTAATGACCCTCTGTTCCCATCCCACCCATGCGTCTTCCTAAGCCCTTACCTCTCCTCTTTTCCCTTTCCCTGCTATGCCTGCTTCTCCCCCTTCCAAGTGTAACTTCTCACCTTCCCTTCCCTTTTAAAAGGAAGAAAATCAAAGTGGTTTTCTTCCTTTCAACTGCTTTAATCAATCAAACTCCAATGCCTGAACAAAATACAAACCACATTAACCAGGAACAGGGTAACAATCCATTTTTAGGGTAGAAAAATCACATTTACCTAATTAATTTATAGAGTACCAAAAACCCAACCTCCTGGATAGAAGGGAGAGTTTTCTTCTCAATACTTCATCTTTAGAATAGCTGACTTAAACATGCTACAAGTATTTGCTGATTATTATTATTAATATCCAGGGAGGGAAAGGGAAAGGAAGGCACAATGCTTGGGGGATACTGATTTCCTGTTATGGGGAATGGAAAAATTCAGTAATGGTAATGGTTTAACAACATAATGAACATATCTAATGTCACTGAACTGTACATATGAAGATTGTTGAAATGGCCAATATTTTGTACCTATATATTTACCACAATTTTAAAAAATCATCAAAAAATAAATAAATAACATCCAGGGTACATTTGGAGGCTGAAAACCTTGACCGATGCTAGACCTAAAATGTTCATTATTTGTTCATATTACTAATCATCTCATTAGTCACATCAACATTTAAGATCTCCCCCACACTAATAATGTACTCAGAGCAACTTCTTTCATCAAACACCCCATTTCCAAAACTGTAAGGAAACACCACCTCCACTGCAGGGACCCCCACAAATGGAGCCAGATCTGCCCATCCTAGCTCACCTACCTTCTTGAGTCCCACAAACTCATTCTCTGCTGCAGTGCGTTTATTGATCTCATCTTCATACCTGGGAGAGAAAGAGGACACATTTTGACAGAGACATTTCAGAAGGGGGGGGGCAAGAAAGAGATGAGGATGCCAATCACTCATGTGGCATCTCCTTACCCAGAGACAGAGCCAGTTTCCCAGGAGTTTACCTGCACAGTTGTCCAAGACCCTGTACTAAGAGGGTCATTGACTTGGTTTCATGCTTTGTTGTTACCACCTTGAAATTTTAATAATTTTTGAAGAAGAGGACCTGTCTTTTCATTTTGCACAACCCCCTGCAAATTATGTAACTAGTCCTGCCTGAGAGTTTTCAGAGTTCAAGGCACTCCTTCACCTTTCTCTAAGTCTGGGTGATGGGCAGAGGTGTGGGCAGGCAGGTAGAGGTGGTAGAAGACTTCAAGGAGCCTGATTACTTGCCTGGGATCTTTGATCAACTTCACAAAGCACTAAGTATACACATGGGACCAAGAGATATTTCTCACACCTGGTGCTTTTGTCTCTGTTTCTCTTTTCCTTGATTATAGTTGCTTCTATAAGAATGTAGGGTGAGAATGAACTTACATTTTCTGAAAGCATCAAGACCATAAGATTCCTGCCTGTTAATGACAAAAATCTCAAAGAATCTGAATTTTATGAAGATCAAAGAATTGAGAAGATTCTAAGAAAAGATGTTTCTGGAAGAGTGAATCTGGGTTGCCACTGAATTGCCAATGCTCAGCACAGAGCCTACCACAAAGTTGTTGCCCATGAGGATTTGTGCAATTGAATTGGAATGGGACCTCTGGGATGGGAGGCTGAAAAGACCTCCCCAGAGCAGGTATGCTTATCTCTATTAGTTCTGAGCCTCGGGGATGTCTGGAACCCCATCCCCACCTTGAGATGTACAGTTTCCCCTCATCCAGGAAGTGTGAACTACAACTCTGAACACACAGGAACAGGCTACCTGAAGTTACAGAAGTAGGACATTGTACTGGACACGTTGAAAGAATATTTTACCAACTGCAGCCCTGGGCCCTTCCCAGAATCCCTAGTAACTATTGAATACTGACTCCTGTGACCTATTCCATTCCTGATTCAGAATATCTAGGACTGAAGCACAAGAATAGGCAAGGTGATTCCCATATACAGTAAAGTGTGGAAGGATCCCCGCCCTAAAGAGTTTTAAACTCTGAGAGGTTTCTTTTGTTAATCTGGGCTGGTATAGGAGCGGATCTGCCTGGAGTCAGGAACTAGAAAATACGTAATAGTCAGCCACCCATGCATCTCAATCCCCAGCCTCTCATCCTCTTTTGTTTGGTTGGTCATGCTTCACTCAAATCCAACCAAAAGTATTGACTGAAGGTGCAGTCAGGAACAGGCGAAATTTCAAATTGGGACTATGCCTCCCTGCTAATTCCTCATAAGAGGAAACTCCCCAGGTGGGGCCCTTACTTCTTTTTGAAGTCTTCCACCAGGTCCTGCACATTCTTCAACTCTCCGTCCAGGTTTTGTCTTTCCCCTAGAAGCAAATCCAATTGCCTGCGCAAGTAGCTGATGTAGGATTCAAAGAAGGGCTCCAAGTTGTTGGGGCCTGAACCGGAACCTGTGGTCTGCTGCTGAAGCAGGTTCCACTTGGTCTCCAGGACCTTATTCTGCTGCTCCAGGAACCGCACCTACATCAAGAGAAGCAAGAAAAAGAGTCAGCCTCTTGTTTGGGTAGATGGGGTCCCCCTTCCCAAAGGGTGATGAGTTCAGCTCTTCAGTCTGCAACAGCCTTTGTTTTATGGAATTGGGGAAGGCTGAGGATTTAGAAAGGGAAGAACTAGAATTTGTTGAGTACTTACTCTATACAAGCTATTTTCACATATTCTATTTTCATTGAGGGAGCTCTGGTAGCATAGTGCCTAAGGCACTTGACTGCTAACCAGAAAGGTGGTGGTTCAAACCCACCAGCCACTCCTCAGAAGGAAAATGGGGCAATCTATTTCCATAGTGATACTGCCTTGGAAACCCAAGTCGGATCTGACTCGACAGTATATAACAACAACAACATTTTCATTGACTCCCCAGAACCACCTGTGAAGAAGGTGTTATTATCCCTATTTTGTTGATAAGGAAACTGGAGCTCTTCAAAAGAGCTAAGAGTATGTTTAGACCCTCACCTCATTTCTCCTGGTACATCTACCCTTAGAAAGAAATCAGGAGCAGGAACACTTTCCCCATTTCACAGCTTGGAAAATAGGCTCCATAGAGGAAGAGTTATCACTGTCCCACATGTCAAGGCAGAACCAAGTCGAGCCAGTCACCTCTACCTCTAAGCAGGCCAGGTCCCACTGGCATCTTCCTATACCAACTCCTTGTGCAGCCCAAACCCTCCACAACACCTCTGGGCTTTGCTCTCACCTTGTCGATGAAGGAGGCAAACTTGTTGTTGAGGGTCTTGATTTGCTCCCGCTCTTGGGCCTTTACCTGCCCAATCTGGGGGTCAATTTCCACATTGAGGGGTTGCAGGAGGCTCTGGTTGACAGTTACCTCATGGATTCCTCCAGGGAAGCCACCAGGACCAAAGCCACCAGGACCACCAAAGCCACCAGGACCACCAAAGCCACCAGCTCCTCCAAACCCACCAACTCCTCCAAACCCACCAACTCCTCCAAAGCCACCAGTTCCACCAAAGCCACCTCCTAGTCCTCTCCCTCCACCAAAGCCACCTCCATAACCACCCCCAAAGCCACTACCACAGCTGCTACGTCCTCCACCAAAGCCACCAGCCCGGGAACCACCGGCTGCCACGCTGATGGAGATGCTCCTATTGCCACCCAGGTTGTAGAGGCTGCGGCTGCCAAAGCCACCTGCTCCACTCCGGAACCCACAGGCCCCTCCATTGGCTCCCCCAGACCGAGCCACACAGCTCATCCTGCTGCTGCCGGAGACCACAGCAGAGCGACCAGAGAAGCCCTGGCTCCCACTACTGAAGGATTTCTTGCAGACTTGTCTGTTCATGGTGAGAAAGCTTGGGGATGAGCTAGAAATCACTTAGCAAGAGTTGAAAAGGATGAAGGCAGAGGATGAGGATGACAGAGGAGACTGGTCTTTATATACCAATGAGTTTGGCTTGGTGGAAGGAGAGGCAAGCAATTAGCAGAGAGTCATCTTGGGTTTGGTTTGCCTCACAGGCAATAAGTTACTTCTAGGTTCCCAACACACCTCAAAGATAATCCTGTGGACCAAAGTGGCTTTGCTTTCTTAGCTTAATCACCCAAACTTGCCACATAACAAAAGACAGGAGCTCTCCTCCCTCCTTTCATGTTATTTCCTCAAGGGTCTTAGGGAACCCAAGCAGTACCTGGTACAGAAGAATGAATTGAGTTTAGATACCACAAATTAGGAGCCACCAAGCCCCATGACACAGGAGGTGAGGACCAGGCAACCTCTTCCAGGTGGGCTAGACATTCCCTGCAGTGCCTGTGTACCCACAGGTTTAGGCAGTGGCCAAGCCTGTTTCTCCCACCATGGACATTGTCTTCCGGTGACATGTCACCTATGCCCATCACTTCAGAGACATATCCAAAGAAGGGCCTAAATTGCAGGAATTGGGGCATGCATGGATACAACAGGGGACCCTCCACCTCTGCCACTGCCTCAGCCCCTCTCAAAGACATCCATCCAAACAGGCCTAGATTTTGAGCTGGGAAATTCTGTTTTAAAGAAAGAAATTAAAATTGAGATAAAATATCTGATCAGGAGAAAAAAGTAGATTCGAGATATGGAACCAAAAAGTATGATGTTTGGGGAAAGAGTGGGGACATGTGCTGACAAAAAGTCTTAGACCAAGCCCCTCCACTCAACATTTCTGGATCCATAAGCAAGAGGTGAAAGAAAATGGGGATACATGAGCTGGCTGGCTGAGTCAGCTCAAGGTTCCCATTCATCTTAGGATGGGAGTTAATGTTGTGGCCCCACCTCAGTTCTGGTGGTCTTTGTATCTCCTCCTCCAGCACCACCTGGTCTGGGTTAAATATGCTTCCATGTTTTCCTACTACCCCTGAACTTTTCCTATCACGGTACTGCCATAAAATATACTTAATTATCTATTTGTTAGTACCTCTTCTAGTCTCTGAGCTCTGTTAAGAAAGGGAGTCAGTTCTACTCATTCTGAATCTTCAGCTTCTAGCACAGGGTAACATATTGACTGACTAGTGACTGATCTGTAAGAAAATAAATATCCAGATGTAGGTTGCACCCTAGTCCTACAGAATGAAAATCTCTAGGAGAGGAAGCTTGAGTATGATTTTAAGAAATCCCCCCAGATAATCCTTATGATTCTTGAAGTTTTGGAAACCCTAGTGAAGACCATGGGTGTTCCATCTGAGTTCAGGTGTGGGGGAGTGGGAAAGGAATGGAGGACCTTTGATGGTAGACCAGGAAAACAAATGAGTTACTGCTCTAACTTCCAAGAACTCAATTATCCTCCACCCCCATGCCAAACCCACCTCCGCACCCAACCACACCAAATATGGCAAGAGTGAATTCTCAGATTCCTTCCCATATATGAGCATTCACAAGCTATGACAAGAGCAGGAGGGATTGATCTCAGACTCCCCAAGAAATATATGGTGGCCATAGCTCCAGAATTCCACTCAAATAGGCAGTAAGCACTCTGCCTCTCTGAGATGGTCTTTGGACAAGCCAGTCAGAGACAGAGGATTGGTCTGAAAGATCCTGAAGAACCTCAAGTTGAGTAGTTTCATGTGCTCTGCAGCTAATTCTCTCATCTCTACTCTATAGTTGTCCAGAGCCTGTCTGCCTGGTTAGAACCCCAGCTCACTAGATATTTGACCTTAGATAAATTCTTAGTTTTTATGTGTTTTACTTTCCTTAACTGTAAAATGGGGTAATAAAAGCAGGTATTTTTTGAAGTTGTTGTGAGAATTAATAAAGTTAAATAAATATAAAATGGTTAGAACAGTGCTTCATGTCTAGTAAGCACTGTACACTTAGCTACTAACCAAAAAAAAAAAAAACTCACTGCCATCGAGTCCTTTCTGACTCATAGCAACCCCTATTGGGTTTCTGAGGTGGGGAATCTTTACAGAAGTAGATTGTCCAGTCTTCCTTCCACAGGGTGGCTGGTGGGTTTGAGCCACCAACCTTCTAGTTAGCAGTCAGATGCCTTAGGCACTGCACTACCAGACCTTCTTCACTTAGCTATTAGTAGTAGTCTATTTGGGGACACGGGGAAAGGGAATGGCTTTGTCTATCCCTGGCTGTTCTCAAGATGACTTTACACCCTGGGAAACTCACCAAAGGATGCTAGGAAGAGGAAGCCAAATATAAGTGGAGAGTAAGGAGAATAACCTGGGTTAATAAGGAGATCTCTGCAGGAATTGTGTTGGGTTGAGTGACCTTGGGCCATGATTTAGACTGTTTATGTTCTTTTATGTCAAATTCCTTCCTACTTCATTCATTTGAGGTAAGCCTCACAGGATATAATGTAAGTGAAAGTCCTTTGAAAATTACAAAATATCACACAAGAGTAAGGTAGTGGTGGTCTAACAGAAAGCCTGTAATCACGGAATTCAGAAGACCTGGGTTCAGATCCCACATCTACCTCTCATTGTGTGATGATCTCAAACAAAGAACTTGACTCTTTGAGCCTTTCTTTCCTTATGTGTAAAAACAAGGATTCTACCCTACTTGCAGGATTGTTTTGAGGTCTAAATACATAGTGTCTAATAATAAATGTTTGGATTTTTTTAACGAATATTATCCAGCCATAGACAATCCATGAAGGGGAGTCTATCTGTGTTGGGCTATTCTATGAGACATTTACTCCATCAATTGAATATCAGTCCCTCTTGGTGAGGTCTTTATTCATATTCTTTGTAATTCCTTTAAAAGCAGAAAACCAAATGCCCTTCCAGGGAAGAAAGCTGGGCTAAGTTCACCTGAAGCGTCAGGTGAAAGCCCAAAGCAAAGAAGGACAGAAAACAGTGTCTCTGATTACTTCCCCTCCCTGGGCTCCAGCACTGAGGTAGTTCATCCCTGCCACCCTCGCATATGCTGGAACAAGTGATGGAGAGATGTGATGGGAAGATCACAAAAGCACAGGTTTGGGTTGAGTTTCCCTAATCCACATCTCCTGACCTGCCAAGGCAGCAACTTCTTTACCAGGTCAGGGTTGTTTTCTCAGCACTTGACTGAAGCTGCTGAAAATACCCAGAGTTGCCATCCTCGGCAATATTTCTTTTCTTCCCTGCAGAAACTTTTAGAGCAGTGCCATCTAAATGGCCTGCCTGCAATCTGAGTTCTAATCCCTCCTCTACCAGAGTCTTTCATGTAAAATTTGGCAAGTGACAGAGCACTCTAGATCCTCATTTCCTCACCTATAAAATAGGAATGTTGTCACCAAGCAGAGTTATTTCCTCTAACCAAATTGCTCTCTGGTATTTAAGCTGAAGAGGTACCTACCCATAATATAATTGTGAGTGGAGGAATTAATCATTTGGCCTCTAGGCCAAAGTGACAGACATCTCTCTTCACTCAGGAGCTGCTGAGGATGAGGAGATGATTGATGCTGCCCCTTTATCCATGTGGGTTTGCAGACCTAATTTTCAGGATAATCCTTAATTCTGCATACAAGAAAAATGAAGAGTCATTCTGGGATCAGGTGAGTTTCTTTGACCTTATGCTGTAACCTCTCTGAATGTGTGGAGATAGACCATTCAGAGGGGTTAGAGCATAAGGTCAAGGAAATGCACCTGATCCCTGGAAAGAGAGCATTTGCTCCAAGTGAGACAGCAAGAAGCTGAGGCCAGATAGAAGAAGCAGGGAGAAAAGTACTGGGACCCCAGGAAAGAAAGAAAAGTTCCCTAAGGACTGATTTAACCCACAATGTATATTTTTCACCAGACTGGGTCTTTCTGAAAGCCATAGATGTACATGCTTTTGGGAAGAGATTCCCCTCCGGAAGCACCATGGGAAGGGGCCTCATCCTTCTCATTGTCATAGTTGATTCGCTGGAACTCAAATGACAACACCTCCCTCCTCTTCCCTTGCAGCTTCTTGTTGATCACTGCCTTCAAGTCAGCATCCGACTCGTGGCGATCCCATGCACAGTGGAAGGAACTACTGTCAGACCATTGTGATCCATAGGACTTTCATTGGCTGATTTTTCAGAAGTCAATCTCCAGGTCTTTCTTCCTACCTTGCAGCTTAGAGGAATGAACAGCATGGAGCCCTTGAAGTTAGGCCTATGTTCAAATACCACCCTCACCGCTTTCCAATTGCATGGCCTTGGGCAAGTCATTTTACCTTCTGGGCCTCAATTTTCTGTTCTGTAAATCGGGGTTAGCAATAGCTTCCTGATGGCTGCAAGAGCTGAAGGAGGTAATGTTAGAAGGCCTTTATCCAACAGCAAGTGCTTAGTACATGGCAACCCTAGTGATGACGATGCTGATGAACGAAGTGCTCCTGGAAACGTGAGCTTGGAAACTAAAGGAAAGAGAAGCTCTGAGGAGTGGTCCACTTTAGGGTCAATGCAGCATTGAAGCTTATGATGATTTTTGCAAGGAATCATAGTACCTGTATTGGGAATGACATAAAAGGCATTCTTCCATACCTGGCCAAGCCAGTTTCCCACTACCAGCCTCATTAGTAATGCAATTCATCAATCAAAAAATATTTATAGAGCTATTGCATACTTCACAGAATTGTGGGGACTACGTTTTAATGAAAACAATTTCCTCTTTCAAATCTTTACCAGAGGTAGTTTGGTAACAGACAAGCTTCCTACTGCCTATCTTTGAAAAGAATATAAAAATAGCTACCATTGATTGAGTGCCAGCCATATACAGGCACTGAATTAGGCTTTTTACAAGTCTCATTTCTAATATCATTAAAATTCTACAAGGTCAGAATTTTTATTCATGTTTTATAGATAATACCACTGAGGTTTAGCGAAGTTGATTAACTTACTGAGAATTTAATCAGACTGTCCAGCTCTAAGGAGCTCTAATGGAGTGGTGCCTAAGGCATTTGAATGCTAACCAGAAGGC